TTTCCTCCGTCACTGAAGCAAGCAAGCCTCATGTTCACTTCAAGCTGCCTGGCTGCCGGCTGCCATCTTGGCTGGCATTTAATTTTCATAGTGCCCTGATTAGCCAATGGGAAGGGTAGCAGACGTATGCTAATTACCATGTTTCTCTTTTATTAGATAGGATTATCCTATATAATAAAGAGCTAATATGCAAATGGTTGTCACACCCTCACATTGTCACGCCATAATGGCTCAGATACTCAACACAGGGGAGAGAGGAATCAGGACCAGCCAGACACAAATGAGCTCATGAGAGAGGAGTGGGGACCAGCCAGGCACAAAAGAGCTTATGAGAGAGGAATGAGGACCAGCCAGGCTGCGGCCCGGGAGGGGGACAAGCTGCCTGCCCCACACTCCTGGGTGCCAGCAGCTGGGGCTGTGGCCTGGAAGAGAGACAAGCCACCAGCCTCACATCCTGGGTGCCTACGGCTATGGCCCAAGCAAAGCCACCTGCCCACGATCCCCTGCAGCTGTGGCCAGCCTGGGCGAAGCTGGCCCAGGTCCTCAGTGCCTGTGGCTGGCCAGAGGGAGGGAATCCTGGGTCCCAGGTGTGGGTCAAGGCAGAGGTGCTTAGGGGCAATCAGGCCAGCAGGGGAGCAGTTAGGGGTGATCGGGCCGGTAGGGAAGCCATTAGGGGTAATCAGGCAGGCAGGCAGAGATGGTTACGGGCAATCAGCCAGGCCAGCAGAAGGGTTAGGGGTGATTAGGCAGGCAGGCAGGCTAGTGGTTAGGAGCCAGCGGTCCCGGATCACAAGAGGCAGTCAGACATCCTCCAAGGGGTCCCGGATTGGGGAAGGTGCAGGCCAAGCTGAGGGCCCCCCCCTCCCATGCACAAATTCATGCACCAAGCCTCTAGTTGATTATATTCCCTATGCTGTGCATTACATCCCCATGGCTATTCTGTAATAACCAATTTGTACTTCTTAATCCCCTCAAATTTTTCACTCACTCATCCAAACCCCTTCCCATCTGGCAACCATCAAAATGTTCTCTATATCTATGAGTCTGTTTCTGTTCAGCTAGCTTATTTAGTTTTTTAGATTCAGTTGTTGATAGATATGTATTTATTCCCATTTTACTGTTCATATTTCTTCTTCTTCTTCTTCTTCTTCTGCTTCTTCTTCTTCTTCTTCTTTTTAAAGAATACCCTTAACATTGCATATAATACTGGTTTGGTGGTGATGAACCTTTAGCTTTTTCTTGTCTGGGAAGCTCTTTATCTGTCCTTCAATTCTAAATGATAGCTTTGCTGGGTAGAGTAATCTTGGTTGTAGGTCCTTGCTTTTCGTCAGGGGAGGAGGGGGTTGGTTTGTTCAGTTTGTTTGTTTTTTAATCTTTATTGTTGAGAGTATTACAGATGCCCCTCTTTTTTCCCCCTTTGCTCCCCTCCACCCAGTCCCTGCCCCTCCCCAGGCCTTTGCCACCCTATTGTCTGTGTCCATAGGAAATGCATATCCTATACAATAGGAGGGTAATATGCAAATCAACCAAACAGCAGAACCACCAGTCACTATGATGCACACTGACCACAACAGGGCAGCTGCTCAACACAGGAACTGGCCCCTGGTGGTCAGTGTGCTACCACAGGAGGAACGCTGCTCAGCCACAGGCAAGCTGATGGCTGGCAAGTGCATGGCCCTCCTCTGCAAAAGTGCTAAGAATGTCCTACTGCAGCTTAGGCCCACTCCCCATGGAGATCAGACCTAAGCTGTCAGTTGGACATCCCCGAGGGCTCCCGGACTGCGAGAAGGCACAGGCCAGACTGAGGTACCCCCAACCCCGCCCAAGTGCATGAATGTCATGTGCTGGGCCTCTAGTATGCATATAAGATCTTTGTTTAATCTCCTCCTGCTCCCCCCCCCCCCATTTGTATGCTAAAGTCACTGGAAACAGCTTGGATGGACTCAAAAGTTGGGTGGAGCAGAGTCTCAGGGACTCACCAGAGTGGCCAAACAGTGTTAGCTAGGTGGATGGAATTTCAGATATGGCACCAGAGTGCAGCTCTGTGAGGGGAGGTTTTATCAAAGAAAAAAAAAATGGCCTCTGGAAGCACATCTGTATGGGAGAAAGCTGACCCCCAGCTCTCACCCTGGTGCTGGAACAATTCAGTTTCCCCCCCTATGTCTCTGGTGCTTTTCAAGCTGCTGCTCCAGTGCTAGAGCTCAGAAGGAGTGAGTTCAAGTAAGTTTGTGCATGGGCCCTTTAAGAGGAACTTCCTGGGACTCCAGCAGTCTTCTGTTTTCCTCAGCCTCAACCCCCACTTGTTTTTACAGCCAGAAGTTATGGGGACTTCTCTTCCAGGCACTGGGACCCTGGACTGGGAAGCCTGAAGTAGGACCCCTCACTCCTCGGGGGTGACTTCCACAGCTAAGATATTTCTCCCAATTTTTGTCCACCACTTGTGGGTGTTGGAACAGCCCATTCTACATCTCCATCCCTCCTACCAGTCTTGACGTGGCTTCTTCTTTAATTTTATAGTTGTAGGACTTCCATTCAGCCAGATTTTAGGTGGTTCTGAATGATGGTTCTGTAGTTTAGTTGTAATTTTGATATGGTTGTGGGACAAGGTGAATGCCTCCTTTACCTCTAGAATAATTTTAGAATGATATTGTCAAGTGAACTAAAAAAGAAGTCTGAGGGCTTTAGCTAGAAATAATTGATAAAATTTATTAAAGGATCTTAGAATTTAGAAAAACCTAGAAGTGTTCCAAAGAAGAAAGAAAGGTTCAAAGTTCCCAGGCTAGTTAAAGCAAGAATAGAATCATTTCCTCATGCCTCAGCAGACTTGATTTCAGTAATTTAGCAGCTTGATCATAGTGACTCCCATTTTATTCCTTCATTCTATTTTTCAATGTAAATGAGGGTTGATACAAAAAGACAGTGTCCGGTTTATCAGAGACTTTAGGTGGCCAGAATTCTCTATTCCTAACACTTTCCACTTACTTGAGGTTCTGTAAAGAACTGAACATATGAGTTGAATAACCATCCTATAATTAATTCTAGTCTTCACTGTTACAAAAAACAAGCATTACTTCATTGTTACAAAAAGCAAGTTAAGACCCTACAGTTTGACCCATGACAAAGTTGAACATCTGGTAAGAACCACTTCTGCTTTCAGGAGGAAGGGAAAGACCAGCTTCTTACCATTCATTCTTACTCATCAAACATAACAGGAAGTTTTCCCAGGTCTGAGGAGAGTCAGTAAGTAGATTTCCAGCAAAAGGAGACAGTGAGAGAGCAGTGGCTGGCTGTGACACGGGGAAGCCAGATTTGGAAACAGAGGGGAGAGGGGCCAACTGTGGCTCTGAGGAAAATTCAAGCAACACTGGACTAATGTCTTTATGAAAATACAAACATATGCACGCGCGCGCACACACACACACACACACACACACACACCACTGCAAAAATGGTTACATCTCACAGTGACTAACAAATGCTCATTAGGGTGTTGCATAATAATGCTGGTTTGGGGGAACAAGGAGACTATTCTTGTTGCAGCTGTTGTAATTCTGAGAAATATCTTTAAGAAGATGACAAAAATCAGGTAATGTGGCAGAGAGCATGGCCAACAATCAGACAGTACTGGGCTGACCATG